TATATATATATATATATATATATATATATATATATATAAACACTACTGTAGTACATAAAATCACATATATTCCATGTGTGTAAGCATGTGTGTATATAAACACTACTTCTTCCCCAGAAAACTGTTGTATGTGTGTAAGTTTCTATGGAAACAGATAAAAGCCACATGCTTTATTAGAGAATTGTGTAAAGCTATATAAATATTTATTAGAACTTGATTTTTAAACAGATATATATATACTGCCTTTAGTTTTTCCATTTTCCAAGATTCATTTTTGTAGGCCTGATAAAATTTATAATACAGATAAAAAACAAAAATTTAAATACTTACTTGGTTTAAGTGTTAACTTAATTCTTTGTGGTTTAATCTGGACAGCATCTTCTTCACTTGCTCCTTTGTCACTTAGTTGCTTATTCTAACCATCATCAATGTAATAAATTGAATATTAAAATATATATTCTCACTTCAGGGGGTATAAAAAAGCAATTAAACTATATGATAACAAATTTCATCAGATTCATTCAAAACTTTAAATCTTTGACAATACCTGATGATGACAAAACCTTACTGAAAAGTTGTATGTTTGTTACTACGTTAAACTTGCAATACAATTTTTTTAATTACCCATTCCATCATCAAACATTAAAGATTTAATTTATATTTCTGTCACAGTTAAGATAATTAATTTTCTATAAAAAAGATGAGTGATCAAAGTGTAAAGTTTTTGTACTGATGTTTATTAATGCTTTTGTTCTCATTGTAAATAAGGTTATATTTGAGGAACTATAGAATGATGCTGCACAATTTGTTTGTTGCTAAGCAAAAAGTTACATAATGAGTTATCTGTTCTTTGCCTACCAACTACGGTAGCTGTAAAAACCACTTTTATTTTCAATCATTCAATGTAGTAAAATACTTCAATATTGTCATAGTTCACTAAGTGTTACTCTTGTCAGTTGATAGTCAACCCAGAATAAATATGAATTTCCCTATTACACTTGTACATGAGGTTATTTTTAGAGCTTGGTGATTGATGGAATTTCATAAACAATTAATCTTTGGACTCATTAATCAATTACATTTGGCCAGTTGATTATTCTCACAACTTGGATAGTTAGAATAGTCAAAAACAGTAATAACCAAGAACATTAATTTTTTATTAGTTGGTTATTTTTGCAAGTTATGACAGTTATTGATTATACTAAACAACCTTAAATTACTTGAATATGACAGTGATAAACCCTATTGGCAATGTTACTATTACTTGGATGGTTGGAGTAACTGAAAACACTCATTTTGACTAACCAATAGGCCATGCCTGACCCAGAGTGTAAAGGGAAAAACATTAATATCTTATTGCAAGAAATAATGCTTACTTAACTTGGAAAGTAAACAAAATTTTGTATATCTTTATATACATAATATAAAGGTAAGTATATTAATAATGCATCTAGATTAAAGAAAACTGTCAAGTTTTTGGATTATTTGTCAGACTATATGAATTGTCCCAACACTTTATAAAACATCTACCAAAAAAACTGGCTGTATATTGAGTTTTTCAAACAAACACATTAATCCTAGATAAGCACAATATACTGAGAGAAGAAATACATAAAGTTGCTTTCATTAAGAACACACTGTGCTTTTGGATTACTTGCCAATTTATAAACATAAAACAATGACTGGTTTAAGATTAGTATACAAAAATTAAGCAACTTAAATTATTACATACCACTAATTTCTCCATCTTGCTGTTTGGGTGTACAATTTTACTACGAGAACATTTGTTAATCAAGCTTCCAATGGTATCACATCGCCAACTTCCACCACTTTCAAAATCCTAAAAGTGAAAGTTTCTTGAAATTTTTTCCAGTTTCTTTACTACTTCAAAAACAGTACTCAGAGTACCACAAAGTAATGTATTGATTTTCCAAGTAGCTAATATATTTAGGTTTAACAGTATTCTCAACTGTTAATCATAATTTCTTTGGTATTGAAATACTGAACTTCAATATAATTAGAAGTGTATTTAAGATATAATAATGAAAACATACCTCAGAAATACACACAAAATAACCTTGTTATTTATGTAACTTTGAGTTATTAATACTTTAATGAGAATTATCTAAATGAAAGGATTAATTATTGGTAATTAAGTTCAATAATATTGTTACAAAAAACCAGAGAAAAAAAACAAGTTAAGATTCAACATACATGTAAGCCAGGCACATTTGGAGACATGATCATTGCTATCCAGAGAACTACATATAGCTTTCAGCAAATTGAAAGTATTTTATTTCAAAGTGCACTTTTTCAGATCTAGTATTTCACTCTCAATACAACCAAATATCCTCTACTGAGATGTTGACCTTCTAAATAGCAAGATTGCTAGCTACTAATTTTAATAGATAGTGCAATGTCTACACTTCAGCTGCAAAAGAAACGTTTTATTAGGCACAATGAAAACTGTTTCATAGAATGTCTTCAACTTCATGTGTTTGCACTAAATAAATTATTATTGAGATGTTTGATAACCATACTGTGTTTCAAGTAGTAGTGATGTGGAGAGGCATAAACTAAATTATTCTTGTTTTATACTTGTAACTTGTATTTACAGACAGTATTTTGATGTTTTTAAAAGAAGAGTATTATTTCACAAAATACCAATATGCTTAATCAAAAGGCTTGTGAACTACCTAGCCCGTGTGTGTGTATATATACATAAATGAAAACTTGAAATCTTACTATACTATAAATGCTTTGCAAATGTTGTTTTGATCCACTAGATATGTATGTACTAACTGCTGATAACAAATGTTAGTGATAAAATTGTGATTAATGCTATAGTGCAGCCCTCTTTTTAATTGCACATACCATTTTTCAAAATGTGCCATTCAAAAACATTTGATAATATAATTGTGTACAGTATACTAAAGTATTTATACTAGACTTAAAATAAGATCCAAAACTTGAGCGCTTTCGAATAGTTGACTGTTCTTCTTCTCCGAAAAAGAATAGTCAACTATTCGAAAGTGCTCGAGTTTTGGGTCTTATTTTTAAGTCTATTACACTTCATATGTGATCCTTTGTGCTAACTCTTTTATCAAAAAAGTATTTATACTTATTTTCCCATTGGTAGAAAAGCTACAAAACTATTATCAGATCAGTATCACAAGAATAACAGCGTGTGTGGCAATGCATGTGACTTTTCAACATATACACCATCATAGCTGATAAATAACAGCACCATCCTGTATCAAAACACAGACCAGATCATTGCATACAGCCTGTGAAAATGTATTTAAGCAAGAGAGGGTGGGACAGCAGAATACACTATCAAAGGGAAGTTACACACATTTTTATTCCTTCACACTGAGAAGGAAATCTGGAAAGCCAGTGTCATGTAATTAATAGCTGTTCCCCAGAAATTTTTGTTTTTTTCATAACAGGATATTGTTTAAATATCATATATTTGGAAGAGGAACAGTATATCTTTACATTTTTCAACTTACTTAATATTGCTGGCAGAAAATGCCTTAAAAAAAGTAATTTGTTTGCTGTCTATATTTCAATACCTTCACCATAAATATTCCAGATATTTAAAAAAATTAAATCAAACCTTTTAATTTTTTATTTAATTATTGCACATTTTCTTGTACCTTTCAGTATCTTGATTACAAAAAGTAATATAACAAAGAAAAACGTTTGAACATTTAATATCTGTAACAATGTGTTACCTCTTCGGAACACCAAGCACATTCAGGATGAGATGTGATGCACTCACCACAAGACTTTTTTGATATACAATGACTAGATGTTAGCTTCTGTGCAACTGTAATTAGATTAAAAAGAAAATAATCATTAAAAAAAGACAGATATTAACAATACATTATACTTTACTTAACAGTGCACAAATTCATTACAGCACCTCAACAACTGTCATTTTATGAGCTTTCAAAATAGTCATTGATTTGCTACAGAAATTAACTTATAATTATTGCAAATTAATCTTGCAGGAAATTTTTACAAAATTAATACACAAATAACATTTTTAAATTTCTTCTTTAATTCATTCTAATATCCAGTGTGGTCACCTTTGGTATAAATAACAGCTAGGTAGCTTTCTGACATTGTGTCTGTGTACTTTCTCAGAGTCTTTGGTGCAATTTGATTTAATTTTTCTTGAAGCTGTGTCCAGAGGATTTCTTTAGTACAGTTGGTACTTTTGTTAAGCATGACATTATGAATTAATATAGTGTGGTATTTATACTGATCCAAAACCTTTGTGAAGATGGCCACCAACATTTGTAGATATTGTCTTCCAAACCACCACAGAGCTTCCTGCATGCTCGACTGTTGGCACAATACATTCCTTCTGCAACCTCTCATTGACTCTTCAGCAAACATGTACATTCCAGTAGATTATTTCAGTTGATAACTTCTAAGATTCAACTTATTTCAATGAACAAATCAAAAATAGCCATAGAGAGTTATTTGTCCCAATAAAATAATTCATTGATATTTTAAATGTTCAGCTGTTATCCAAATTAATAAATACTTTATTGTATATAACTCAAATTTTTTCACTTTTATCTCTCACTGTCAATGTTTTTAAGAGATTTGGGCAGATTTGTGAGCTATGATTCAATTCTGAATTTAAATAGACATTCTACTCATTTATGATCTACAGAATCTCAGTCTTTCTTGGCAAAATTTGCAAGACAAGAATTAGAATGTTAACTTTTCTCTAGAAATTTCATTACAAAAGTTCTAAACCTTACATATTTATTCAAAAAGGACTATTGAATATAATTTCTTGGAGCAATTTTATTTAATGTTTTAACAACAAAATGACACAAAAAATTGTCATACCTTGACTGTGGACTACAACCACCACTACTGATGACAACCATAATACAAGATGCATTTCCAACTTCATGTTTATGTAAAAACAACCTAAAACAGTAATGAAAAAACAAAATATTTTAACTATAGTTTCTAAATGTATCTTACAGATGTTTCAAAATACGCAAAATAACATAATACTTAAAGACAACAAGGGATCTATTGATTCATCTACAATGTCCCTAAAAACTAATTTAAACTACTAATAAAAAAAACTCAAAGCCAGACCTTCTGATTTAAAAATTTATCACATCTTCCTTCAAATTTACTGCTTCCACCACATTTGAAGGCAACCTATTCCAAAAGTCATCCACCCTGTTAGAAAAATAAAGTTCTCTTACCTATAGATGATTCCCCCTACAAAAATTTATAATTGTCTCTCTTTGTCCAACCATTCCCACCATTAAGAATAAAACAAAGATGCATCAGGACTATCAATGCCCTTAAGAACTTTAAACATCTCAATCAAAGCCCCTCTAACTCTTCTTTTTTCAAGGAAAAACAATTTCATATCTTAATATGTCACTGTATGACAATCTTTCCATCCCAGATATCATCCTAGTAGCCCTCCTCTGAGACATTTCCAACAAATCAATATTCTTCCTAAGGTATAAAGCCCAAAACTAAACACAATACTCCAAATGTGGCTTAACCAATGACCTATACAATGAAATTATAAACTATTTAGACTTGCATTCAATATTTCTGTAGATATACAACCTAAGATTCTATTTGCCCTGCCACTAACAACAGCATATTGCTTGGATGGCTTAAGAAACTGATCAACCAGAACACCAAGATCTTTTTTTCTTCCCTAACACTGTTAAGGCTACTCATATCATCAAAATTATACTTATAATCCAAAATATGATAACCCATATGGATTACATTGCATTCTTTATAATTAAAAGCCAGCTGCCAGTCATTTGCCCAACTAATCAAATGATCTAAATCCTTTTGTAAATCAGTAGCATCTTTTTTTTTCATCAGAGCCAGCAACATCTGAGACCTTAATATTATCAGCAAATTTAGGTAACTTATTGACCATTCCTTCACCTATGTAATTGATGTAAATCAAAAAGAGAAAAGGTCCTAACACCAAGCCCTGAGTTACCCCACTTATAACGTTAATCCTATTTGGCTGAATTCCTTTTATAGCATCCCTCTGCTTTCTTCCATCTAGCCACTTTTCTATCTTATTCCCCACACAACAAGAGACCATTTGACCCTTTAAAGCTAATGCTACACACCCACTCTTGAGAAAAAGTAAAAATTTAGATCCACCAATTATTTTTCAGGAAGTCATCCATTCCCCTTTTAATAAGCCAGTCTTCATAACTGTTATTGGTAATTCATTCCAGAAGTCAATCACCTCTTACAAAAATAAAACTATCTTAACTGGATCCAACTTGTCTTTTCCAAAGTTGAAATTTGTCTTCAGAATGCAGATCAAATACATCAGAGGACTTTCATCTTCCAAACAATCTTGTAAACTTCAATAAGATCAACTCTTATCCTACTTTTCTTAAGAACCTTTATACTATTCTCATAAGATACCTCTTCCATCCTCAGAATCATCCTAGTAGCTCCCTTTTTAACCCTTTCCAACAAGTCCACATCTTTTCTTAGATAAGACCAAAAATTATACAGAGTATTCAAAGTGAGGCCTAGTTAGTTATTTGTATAGATAGATAATTATCTATTTGCTTTGTAATCAGTGTCCATAAGTTAATCATAAAATTCTATCAACTTTACTACAAGCACTTGAGTGACTTACACAAGATCAGTCACACAACTGAGTGGGTTTCCATCTGTATTAAACATGTGATCCAAATGATTATGAAGTAAGTGCATTACCTCACACTTACTGTAATTAAAGGCCAATTATCAATTACCTAACTTACCAATTGATTCAAATTATTCTTTCATACTACTTCAAAATAGTTACAAATATTTAAGAGCTTAGTGTAATCATTAAACTTTAGTAATTTACTAGACAACCAATAAACACCTCAAAATCTACAAGATGCATGTTATATGTTAAGTAATATATTCACTCATAAACAGGCTTTAAATTATGTGTATTTTACATTCCTTAAACATTCTCTTAGATTAACAACACTGAGAAATTAATCCTGACAAGATCTATTAAACTATACACTCATCCTTTTACATAAAATATTAAAAGCACTTTCTTATTGGTATACAATTAAAAATAAGTCATAAAATGATTTATCTGGTGATGAAAAAAATATTCTTGAAAACCATGCATGTGATGATTTTTCTTATACAATATCGAACTAGTACTGTTCCTGCATTTTATCACAATTTTGGTTATATTAAAATAGACAAGTGTACCATACCACCTTGCTAAAAACAGAAATTAAACTTATAAGCATGCAATTTCTTAAGTCTTATTTTAAAAAATGAGAATCACTTGGGATATTGTAAGGTCACCAAGAATTATTCTATTGTTTATTTTGAAAAATAACAGATAAAGCTTCCACCAACAACTTAAGAAGATTCTTCAAGGTTTTAGAATAAACTTCAATTGTCAAAGGAGCTTTACACTGTTAACTTTCATTATCTTTTATCATATCATTTTCTAACAAAAATTTAATTTAATTTCCTTTCCATGTCATTTTTTCACCAATAAAAAAAGAAGCAAAGAAAGTCCACATAATAAAGTTCTTATCAAGATTTCTTAACACTATCAATATTATCCTCCACACTTTCTGTAGTAACATAAGCATGAAAATCCTTCATGTAAAAGTAAATATTTATACTAAAATACATAAAAGTCTATTTTTCTGGGGAAATCTTACATTTGTCTTGCATTCTTTTTTTTATTTAAAAAAATGTCAATATTACAAATAAATATGATAAAAAATACACTTCAACTTAATACACCTCACAGCAAAAGTTGTTGTTCATGAAATTTGATTATATATGTATATTTTGCCTCAACCACTGTGTCCATCGTATCCCAACACACCTGAGCCCTCTGGTATTATATGAAAGGCCTTGTCGGCACTGGATATAGTAACTATGGTGTAGTTGATATATTACTGTACATTCTTTTTTACTATCACTAAAAAATACTTATAATGTGTAGTATTGATACCTGACTACATAGCTCACCAATATTGGCATTGTCTCGCAACTTATTTCACTTTAAGTCTTTTAAATCTGGAATATACACATTTTCCATAAGCTTATCTAAAAGTTTGTGTTCAAATAGGGAATGCGTGCGTCTTAGCTTTCATCTGCCAAATAACTATAATGTTTTGTAATAGCTCTTACATAATATTAATTTTATCTGTTTATGATTTTCTAAGTCTAATAATTAATTATTTGTTTATTTTATTAAAAAAGAATAAAAAAATTAGTAACTAATTACTAATTAGATTTAGGGGATTGTATGGACCACTAACAATGTCCAAATTGATATCAAATCACTACAATGTTACTGTTAGTACTTGATTCTTTAACCGATAAGTTTTGTTTTCTGAACATGTTCTTAATTAATAATTTAAAACAACTTACACACTTGGAAGACTTATCTTTAGAAATAATTTGTCTAATTATACAATGTATACCGATCCAGTGAAAGTATGGATTCTATTGATTTTTGGTGAACAGATGTATGTGTGTGTTTTGTTATAGCAAAGCCAAATTGGGCTATCTGCTGTGTCCATTGAGGGGAATCAAACCTCTGATTTTAGCATTCAAATCTGATGACTTACCGCTATCCCACCAGGGAACGTTGAACAGATGATGAGTAGCAAAAAGATACAGTTACAAGGAAATGGCTGGCATTTGGTTATTGTTTTAGAGTATAAGATCTAAGCTCGTGATGACATCTTACTGCTAAATAGTTTAATTATTCTTATAAAATGGACTTAGTGCTTTCTGACACCCAAACTATAATAATAATTAATATGTTGCACTAAATTTTTTTATACATTTCAGTTCATTGTTGTACATTTTTTTGGGACACAGAATTAGAATACATTTAACTTTATGTTTGGGGATGGGGGGAAGAATTTTTTTTTCCTGATACTTCAATTTTTTTTAAACTTCCAGTGAAAGAGTATACTTGAAAATACTGAATTATGTACCACTGTAAGATGTTAACAAGTTTTAATTATTAAATTCCTTCTTTTTTTGCTAAGTATCTATCTTTATTATCCGTTTGTCAAATATCAGTAATGTTACTAATACTATAGTATTGGTATAATTAATATTACAATTAGTGTTAAATGGTCAATAAACTATAAAACGTTTATTAATACACATGTTACGTCCTGTTGACATAGTTCGTTTAAAAGGTTGGTTAGACAACCCGAATGCTTTAACAAATATGTGATAGAACTATATTAGAAGAAAAACTACATTTAAGTTTAACATCTTTTTCGTCCATTTCCGGTCGCTATCACCACAAAAGGCATCATTCAGTATCACTATATCTGGCCTATATATACCTAAATTTTCGCTTTACTTTTAATCTTATTTTGGTTAAAGATTTGATCAAAATTTCTACAGGGCTAGAACTACATAAAAATCGCATACTTCAATACAATAATTTAAATTAACAGTTAAAAAAATCTTCTCGCTTACCTATTTCCGTTTTACTTACAACTGAGTTTTCTCACTCCCTCCGTTACTAATACTACAGCTAACATTCGTCAGTCGCGACAATGATGAAAACCATGTATGGCATTGGTTTAACAAATACGTAGACATACGTAATTTACGTCAGACATCCTAATTGGGTATTTAATTAAACCAATTCATAAAATGAGTTCAGTGTTTCAACTAAAATTAAAGTTTCAAATTTTTAGAAAAATCTGTACTCTCCTTTTCAAACTTGTTTAGGTTTATAACGGAAGTAGTAAATATAACAAACTTCACATTATTTTATAGCTTAGTGAAACTGGTTATAATAATGATGACAGTACCAGCTGCAATTTCATAGTAATTCAAATATTTGTAACATTTATTTTTCTTGAGATAAGAGGAACACTTTTCTCTCCTTCAGACAAAATCTTTCACAATAAAACAATTATGTTAAAAATTATATTTTATTGTCTTATGTACATCTAAATATAATGCTATATGTCTCTTGCTTGAATCGTTAGCGTTAGTTTTTTATTACTGGAATACATTGTAATCCGAGCAATACAGCTACTTTTATAATTTATACGGAATTTTTTAATCAAACTAATTAAAGATAAATTGCGCTCAATTACAAAATGTATTTCAGATGTAAGTCTCAAACTGCTTTATATATTTTTTTTCTTTCTCTCTGTGGCATCTCGCGTTTTCCTGTTATTGTCAGAATTGCGAGATTTTGAGGTTGGCCCTTTTATAATATATGAAAAACATATTTTTATTAGCAAATACTTTAAATGATCATGTATATAACGCGTTATAGAATAGTTATAATATTTTCGTTTTGTATAATACGATTTAAAAATGGCCCTTTCAATATGAAAACAAACCAAATAATATATAAATGCAATTTACTTTTTCTTCGGATAGAGCATCATTATGGGAACAATAGGAACAACGACAAAATGACAAAATATGTGGGAAATTTTGTTTCATTAATCGCAAACAGACGGCAATAAAGCTATTAAACATTTACAGTTAAGTTTATTTATATAATTATTTTTCTTGTCAAGAGACGAGGCGGTAATTCTAAGTTATTATCAGTAAAATGAACGGCAGCTACATTCGGTACTTCTTTCCATTTACAAACTCAACTACTCTTGTGGTATTGATTCTAGTTTTAAAAAATAAATCTCATATTTTCATAATGGATGTTCATATAAAGTTTCTAAAGTACTTTACCTGTGGGTTCATAAATAATCATCAAATCTTGTCGGTTGTTGTCACGATTCCCTTACATCCAAATTTTGTTATAGCATGGGTATCACAGAATATTCATACCATGTGTCAAAAAAAAAAATCGGAGCAATTGCAGATTTATTTCTCTACCATTCCAGGCTCGAGCCCGGCATGGCCTAATAGTTAGGGCACCGACTCGTGACCTTAAGGTCGCGGGCTCGAATCATGTCCCCGCACATACTCGCCTTCTCAGCCTTGGGGACGGTATTTTGTGATAGTCAATCAATTATTTGTTGGTAAAGAGTTGCACAAGAGATGGTGAAAAGTGGTGTTGACTAGCTGCCTTCCCTTTAGCCTATCACTTCAAAACTAGGAACGGTTAGCGCAGATAGCTCTCGAGTAGCTTTTCGCGAAATTAAAAACAAATAAACAATTTCCAGGCTGACTAGCCTCTAGTAATTATTATTTTCACTGATCTTACCAGCAAAAGTCTCAGTCCTCATAGCTGTCTCTCTCTTCTTTCTTTTTCTTTTTTATACCAATGGGGCCATATACATTGTTTGTCGGTATTCTTCTCTTTGGATATGCATTGACGTTCTGGTGGACTACAGAGTGAGTAGACTTCCTCACGATGTTGTCTTTTCCTTCCTGTTTTGAATTCTTGACAGGTTTTAGAAACTACACAGATGGCTACAGATGTTGTGGTGACACTGCCTATGGTTAATCCATTTTTGTTATTCTCCATTCTCAATACCTGTGCTATAAGTTAATACATTACCACTCCCCTGTTCTAGCGTTTTACAATATATGTATATAAGCTTTCATTTGACAAATTCTCATTAACGTTGGCATGTTAATGAAGGATACTTCTCGTGTGGTCTCTTCAGCAAGTTACTGAATAATATTAACTATGTGGCTTCAATACCGTCTGCAAGCTACTGAATAATATTTCAGTTAAGTTTAAGAGTTCTTGGACAATATATATTATCTGGTTTCAAGACAATATTTTGAAAGTTGTGAAAGAATTTTTAATATATATGTGGTTTTAATACTGTCTGAAATTTATTGAAGAATATTTGATTTGTGGTTTCAATACCGTCTGCAAGTTACTGAAGAATATTTAATATGTGGTTTCAATACCGTCTGCAATTTACTGAAGAATATTTAATATGTGGTTTCAATACCGTCTGCAAGTTACTGAAGAATGTTTTACAAGACCGATATTGTATCAACAGGAACAGCATAAAACTCTTAACAACCGAAGCTTTCAATGAAAAAGATCGTAGTAGTTTCAGGTGGAACAGAACGAGAATAATGTCATCTCAAAATGTTAGACATTTCAAGTCCAAACGAAAACTAAGAAGAACATCTCAAAACACCAAGCGTTTCATGTCCAACAGAAAGAGAAGGAAGCAAACTCACAACTATCAGGAGTTTCAGTTTCGAGAAAACCTAACTTGGGTGCCAGTCATCAGTTGACTTTAGCCAAAATAAAGAAGTCATTACTGAAAAAGTTCCAGGAAATCAGCGTAGATATATACTATATTGCTTTATAATTTACACACAGAATTTACTGTGTGGATTTTAAACCGTTTACGTGTATACTTTAAAGTTGTTGCAATGTTTATTCCTGTTTCCTGTTTATTTCACTAGACGGTTATTTTTGCTACTTCTATCCTCCCCAACTTATCTCACAAGAAACACACGAAGGCAAATTGATTAAAGAAAATACTACCTTATTTTTCACATCGATTTTCAATTTACACCGAACACAGAAAACCATACAATTATATTACCATTCTTGGAAGTTTTAATGTGTATCAGAAACTTCCATCTAGAGAAGTTTATACCATACACGTCACTATGATGTAGTTCTGCGAATATCTGTATAATGTAAACAGATTTCTGTAGTTGTTTTCATAAATATAATGTTACTAAATAAAACGATCTTACTTGCATCACCCTTACTGCATGAATTTAAATATGTGGATTTTACATTTAAAATATTAATTTGCTATTTTCAGAAATATATAACAATAAAGAGATTCTGGGTTTGCAGCTTTCGAATAAAAGTCACAATAAACGGACTCTGCATTTGCTACTTTCAAACAAAAGTGGTAGTAAAGAGATTGCTGGTTTGCTGTTTGCAAATAAAAGTGGCAGAAAACGGACTTCGAATTTGCTACTTTCAAGCAAGAGTGGTAGTAAAAGAACCTTGGATTTATCATTTTTAAACAAAAGTTGCAGTAAATAGAAAGAGAATTAAGCAAACTACTTGTAAACAGACTATGAGTATATCGAATGGAATGGACAGTATTGTTACGCCTCTGGTCGTTTGTTAATTTCCCGTATAATTTCTTTGGATGAAACTTTAGCGATACAAGTCCTT